TGACCTCCTTTCAAGTTCAGGATGGTCCAGGTCCTTTGGTTCATGTGGCTGTTCGCACGTCAGCTCCTCTAATTTGTCAGCCCTGCCAATTGTTATTGTAGTGGAGAAGAGATGATGGTCTCTTTGATGCCAAAATAACTTTTTTTTAATTAAATTCATATTGCTAAAGGATTTGAGCTGATACCTTTTTTTTGAGCTGATACTTTTGACCCACTTAAAGGTCAATAATTTTTTCAGCTACTTTCTCCTTTACAGCGAATAGCCAACGTATGAAACTTATGAAAGTTTACAAGGCAGATACCCATTGGAGAGAGCCCTGATCTTCCTGTCCTATCTTAATGAGCCAAGGCTGTTTATGGATGATGGGACAGCTGCCAAATGCCACCCCAGGGTGACAGCAGCTCAGTAGTGGGAGAAATGATGGTGATAATTTACATATTCTCTGTATACTTGCAGTCAACATAAACATATAGGCATTTACACCCTCATTAGCTTTGAAACTGGCATTTCAAAACCCACTGGCTTCCTCAGTTCTTTTGCAAGGAAGAGGAGTGAAGGCCAGGTGGGTGTGAAAATAAAAGAGGCAGCCAAGAGTAGACGTGGGAAGTCCAGGTAGAGAAGACTGCACTAATCAAGGGACGAGAAGGCAGCCAGGACGAGGATCATTTCAGCGCAGATGGAGGAAAGTCAACCCATCGATTACTTTGAAGTAAATATGAGAACATGGTGATGGGTTGGCTGAGGGAAGTGAGGGAGAAGGAAAAGAGGCAGTTGCTGCTTCCGGTTTGGACCTCTAGGTGGATACTGGTGTGCGCCATCCCCGGAGGGAGGAAGATATACAGGAGTCCGTTAAAGGTGGAGAAGTAGCAGCTTTCCTAGATTTCCTGGAGGCTGAATTTGAAGCCTTTCCATCCCAGATGGAAGGAATCAGAGCCTACATCTTAACCAGATCCCCAGGTACACAGCAGCCAAACCAAACTCACTCCCATGGAGTCAATGCTGACTCAGCAAACTGTGAGGGTCGGCAGGGTAGAACTGCCCCTGTGAGTTTCTGAGACAGTCACTGTTTGTGAACGTAGGAAGCCCCATCTTTCTCCCACGGAACAGCTGGTCATTTGGAACTGCTGACCTTGTGATCGCAGCCTAAAGCGTGACCACTTCACCACCAGGGCTCCTTCAGCACACAGAAGAGCTTGTGAAAATGTAGACTCTGATTTCTGTATTTGGGGTAGAAAGGCCAATTACCAGCAGGGAGTCAGAATGGAATAAATAGGCGTGAAGCCCTGGTTTGAAGTGTCTGCGGGACTTCCAGGTAGAGATGTCCAGAAGGTTCTTGGATAAATGGGACTGAGATGCAGGAGAAGTTGGCGATAGAAGGGTGTGCATGTGTGTGTGTGCACATGTGCGTGCACGCATGCGAGCAGCATAGAGATGTGACTAAAGCCAAGGGAATAGATAAGATTTCCCAGAAAGAGAACTTTAAACTTAACAAGAAGAAGGGAGGTGGTGCTGTGCAGAGGAAGAGCCTCCAGCATATCGAGAGAAGGAAAGATGGCAAAGCACGGTTTGAAGAGGCGAAGGAAGACTTGGAGGTCGGGGGTGGGAGTGGGGATGGGGGGGGGGGGCAAATGCTTTGGGGACATCAAGGGAGGTGAGGATCAAAAGGCATCTGTTAGATTTAGCAATCAGGCAGTCGTAGCAGGAGCTGGTTTCTGCAGTGGTGAAAACCGCGGCAAGGCAGAAGAGTTAGTGAGCGCAGATAAGCGGGCACGTTATATTCTCAAAACTCAAGAGGCTAGGCTGTGAAAAGGAGAAAGGGGACAGGCACGTAACATCAGGGCTGTGAACACGGCTGTATTGTAATGCCAGCGATTTGAGCATGTTTGAAATGCTGATAGAAAGAAAAGGGAGAGGATAGAGCTGTGAGATGCTATGGAGGTGGAGCGTGGCGAGCCCATTGAGAACTTTGGCTCCAGAGCAGAGACTCCTCTTTCACTGTGACAGGAGGAAAGAGAACAACAATATGTGTGGGCGCAGCTAACTGTGGGGGCTGGAGGGAGGAAATCTTAGCGGGTTCTATTTTCTCTGAGAAAGAAGAGATGGAGTCATCTGCTGAGGATGGCAGGGTGATGGCGGAATTGAGGTTTGCGGGTAGGGGAGAAGGGCTCCAATAGCCGGTACGAAGATCGGGAGAAGGAACAGGGTGACTCTAAACACTGTACTATTCCTAGCTCCTGAGAGATGCCTTTGCATACACAACGTTCAAAAGAGTATGTGTGCAACTGTAATCTCAAAGATGATTGTTGCCAGATGACTACCCAAAAGTTGAAGTAGCTTATGAGTAAAGATTCAGGCTAAATTTACATTTTTATAAATCAGCATTTCTTAATGTTTTTAACATTCTTTAGAGAATCAGCTACATGAAACACTGGCTTAAACTGCCTCTCTTACAGGAGGGATAGCTGAACGCACTGCTGACTCGTTTTGTGGCTTTTGAAATGTGCCCGGTTGGACAGGATGAGGAAATCTGTCCTCATTCAACAAGACAGATGATAATAATCAGGGCCAGACTAGCTGTGGCCAACACTAGTGGTATCTTCCTCTTTTTCTTTGTACATGGAACCTTCACTCAGTTCACCTACAAGGTAAAGAGCTTTAGGCATGAGAGGCTAGTCCTGATGAATCCAAGCTAACCACATCGCTTTGTGGGCAAATGGGTTGGAAATGTATGCAGGGCACAACCCTTGCCAATGAAACTGCAAGGGGACATCAGCTGGGTGGATGAGGATCTTCTGGAAAAGTCTGCCACACTTGTGGAGAACATCGGCACAAAGGAGAGGCATGGCCTGCTCTGACTCTGAGCAGTGAAGCGCTGGCAGTCCACGAGGCGTTCTGCGGAGAGCAGCCTGAAGGATGAGAGGTGCTCAGGATGACAGAACGACAACGGAGACAACTAGCCTCTTCAGTGACGTCAAATGAACTGTCCGTTACCCGAGCCTGAAGTCACCTTTCCTTGGGCTTTATTTCTAAGTGAAATAATAAGTTTTCTTTCTTTTTAAAGCTGCTTCTATTGCATGCACCCAAAAGAATCCTTATGAACCCAATAGTGGTAGGATTGAACCAAGCCACTGAATTGAAACAAGCAGGGAATTAGAAAAAGGCTAAAAACAGGAAACATTTGAGGAATAAGAGTAATTTTATTGTGAGAACTTACTAAATAAAAAGGGAAGGAGAAAGGGCCCTAGTAGGAAGGATGGAGAAAGGGTAGAAAAAGGAGACACAGCACACACAAAGGTTGAGACAGCTTCTATTTATGTCTCTTTAGCCCACTCTAGGCTGGGCAATGGACTATGTTGTCTTCATTTCTCTAGTTCTCTTGTGCCCTTGATCAAGTTTTTTTTCTTTTCAGTCTGTGACTCATTCCCTGTCTTAAGATGTCGGAATTCTACAAACACATCCACTCTTCACTCATCGACATAGTTAGGTTCCAAATACCAGGTGGTTATGGGAACATGAAGGATGATTACATCAGATCACAAATGGAGGATGACTACATCATTACATAACTACCTAATCACACCATTATATACTTGTTGACACCTAACCTGAGTCATCACAGCCACCTTTATGCTTGCTTCCCATGCTGGCATGCCTTATCTCCAGATGTACACCGTGAGTGTGCAAAATAGACAGTAGATTTTGTAAAGTTGTCAATGTGAAATGTCAGTTAACAAGATAGTTGGTAAGTGAGGAGTAGTTGTATTTCCAGGGAGAGAAAAACACAAGTCCCAACTGCTCACCGAGGATATCCGTTCCATCCGTAGCCAGGCAGTTCATTTCGTGGACTGGTTACTCTTCCATGCTGGACTGCCCCAAATCTGTTCTCCATATCAAAGATTGCCAGAAAACCTGGAGTCATCTTCATTCCCTAAAGTCTCATGGCTTTGTCTCAGATTCTCTCAGATGGGCCCACTCATTTCAATTTATATGGGCTCCCTCTTAGCCAAGATGCTCGCATTTCACACTGAAGCACTTTCAGCGCCCCTTAGCTCAGGGTCTCTGGCTCCACAACCTCCCACCCACTTACCACTCACCTTACACACTGGTGCCAGATTAACTGCTCCTAACTGCAGCTGTCACCACGTCAGCGCTCCTCTGGGAACCTGCCTGTGGTGTTCCCCACACCAAACCCAAGTTCTCCTGGGCGGGTTGCCTCCAGCAGCTTCTGTGTACTTCACGCAGGTCGCAGATGGGGCAAGGCAAACACAGGCAGATGGGGCTGTCACCGTGTTAAGCACCTAATTCTCAATTCCTCCAGACCAAGCTCAAATCTCACCTCTTCCCAGAAGACCTTGTGATTGTGCCAGCCCTTTCTTCTTTGTGCTTCCAGTACCACACTCCAGTACCACACGGGTCTCTCGAATACCCCTTCTCTCACTCTGAGGAGGCCCTGCTGCTTGATGGGGAAACCAGGTCCTACACCTCTTGGTATTCCTCAGAGTGCCCACTATGTTGCTGTTAGATGCCATCACACTGATCCTGATTTATGGGCACCCCACATGACAGAGTAGAACTGTCCCACAGAGCATCCTAGGCTGTAATCGTTACAAAAGCAGATCATTAGGTGGCTGGGTTCAAACCCTCAACCTTTCTGTTAGCAGCCAAGCATGTAACTGTTGGGCCCCAGGACCCCTTGTGTCTACTATTGCCCACACTAACTAGGTAGGGATTAGTGAATGAGGTGGAAGGGGCCCTGTGCCTCCTCCTACTTTCAGGTCTTAAGGAGACTGGGAAGAGAGGCGGGCAACAACACTGCCCTGCAGCCCTTGCAAAGCCTACATGCTCTGGGAGAGAGCTGGCACAGCTGGAAGAACCCCATTTCTGGAGTCAGGTCAGGCATTTTTCAAAGCAGCATCACGGAGCTGATCAGACTTAGCGGCAAGGAAGCAGAAGTCAGGCTGGAGCAGAGGAGGGGCAGGGCAGTGGGGAGCTACATTTACCACTGTGGCTTCCTCCAGTGGAGTCACTTGGTGCCAGAGGAGGTGGATGCGGCTTGTCCATCAGCATGCCAGATGAGGGGCCTCCTCCCAAAGGGAGAGAGGGAATGGAGTAAGGGCCAGGGACACCGGAGACAGAGGGAGGGTACCCGGCCTTGGCTGCTTTCCCTGCTTCATACACTGTGGAGGGAGACGAAGAGCAAGAGAAATTACATCAGCCCACCCTCCGCAACCCTCACGCTTCAACTAAGGAAGCTCCTTGTTTTAAAGCCACATGGTGTGTGTCTGTCTGTTTGTCTCCAGGCCTGACTTGATCATCTGAACCACTCTCCATCATCCCTTGGATTCTGGCAACTCTGCTGAAAAAGCATCGACATAAGGGATCAGAGTGTTGAATACCTGGCAACTGAGTAATTGTGTGGTGCTGGGAGCTGTCACAGCAGCATCCCCGTGACAGCAGCAGCAGCAGCAGCCCACGCTTCACTCCACTCCGGAACGGCCACACCCCCTTTCCTAGGAGGCTTCCCACAGGGGCTGCCAGGGCCGCTTGCGGGAGGATGGGGAGCCTCTTCCAGGGGCGCAAAGCAAAGCCTATTCAAGGCCCCTGCTCCAAGTCTCTCAAGCAGACTCGGCCTAGAAACGGTTTTTCTCTAAAAGACACTAGAGAGACACGCGTCTCCCTCCTTCAAGAAGTGTTTCAATTACGGCAGGGCTTCCACGCTTAACAATGACATGGCCTGGTGAAGTCAAACGGAATCCTCAGACGAAGCTCGTTGCATCCTGGGAGTTAACAAAACCCAGTGGCTGGGGTACGCAAGCAGGCGGCCAGTGTGCACGCTCTGCGTGTAAAGAGGAAAGGGATGGCCCGAGGAGGGGCCCTGCAGTTGGAGTGCCTGGGAGAGCCCCAGAGAAAAGGGGGAGATGTCACTTCCCCAGCCTCGCCCTCCGGAACCTGCTCAGCATTTCACCGGAGCATGAGATTTCCACGTGCAGAGATGAGCCGTGTGGGTGAAAAGCAGGGAGGGGCAGCATGTGGGGGAGAGGGAAGACAAGGGTGGGCAGCTCTGGCGTGCCAGGGGAGGGTCTGGAATGGCCATGTTTTTGGGTGGCAGATGGGAGGCGGGGGGTGGGCATTTCTTTGATCCCTCTCCCATGGCACTCGGGGCCACTTTACTCACAGGCCTGAGGGCAGCAGCAAGACTCCGGACAACACGGGCAGCGGATGTAGCAGCAGCAGCTGTGAGGGCAGCACTGGCACCAGCAGATCCCCACCAGGACGAAGAAGAGGAAGACTCCCAGGATCACCAGACCAACAAACACCCACTCTGGAGGAACACACAAAGAAAGCCACCCTGGAGGCAGCCCCCCACCTTAGAACAGGCCACCCTCGGCCACCCTCTATAAACAGAGGCACGGGGGAGGGGCCTGGGGAAGAGAAGGCAGGGCCCCCAAACCCAGGAGACACTCCACTTGAGAAGTTCGAGCCTCACAGGCCCAGGTGGAGACCAGGGAGGACGAGGGAGACCAACTTACTGACCAGCACACCGGGAGGGAGGGTTCTGACTGGACTGTCAGAACCAGACAAGGACAAGAACAGGAGGGTTTTCTTGAGTTAAAAAACAGTAATAGGTTTCGCTCTCTCTTTAAGTTGTGGTTAAAAAACATAAAAGGTACAATAAGACAAGAGCTAATTTAACACGTACCATTCAGTGACATTATGTTCTGAGCAACCGTCACCACTGCCCCGGTGCCCCCTAAACACGGGTTCCCCCTTTCCTCCTCCCATCCCTGGTGGTCGTTCATAAGCTCTGGTTCATCTACATTTAATATACAGTTTGCGTAGTCAAGAGAATCCGGACTATAAAAGTTTAAGTCTCAAGAAAAAAGAGACCTCTGTGTCTAAACGGGCCGAGGGCAGAACGTATTTGGGTGGCCCACACCCCTATACATTCATCAACTTCTGTGGATGAGGGTCCCGGTGCCACCTTCTCAGTACACGGCACAGCGCTGAGGTCAGCACTTCTACCTTCGCCACACACCACGACCCGGGAAAGCTGGAGGCATAGCATGAGGCAGAGAAGACCCTGACCCACTGATCCGGCCCCCAGAGGACGGCATGGTGTGATCACTGACTACGCTGGAATGCCAGTGCAGCCAAGGGCGTTGATGGATGGCAAGGCTGGCATGTATCTACCTGGGCCTATCTGCTCACTTCTGCTATGGTAACAGCTTGCGGAGGCTGGACATGAATACTACTCTATTTGCTCATCCGAAAGAGCAAGAGCCTTCAGACCCAGGACAAAGGAAACCAATTTTATTTGCACTTAGATAAGGGCTGGGTCTGAATATTGTGCTTTGGGGACTTGGCTAACAGCCCTGACTAGAGACCTGGGGCCAGAATGGAGAAAGCCATGCTTCCTTGTAAAAGTCAGAAGGTTAGAGAGACTTATTTTTGGTTGAAAGCCATCTACCAAGAATCCCTTTACAATGAGCCCCAAGTACACATGTATGCCATTTTCCTCAATTTTTGTTATTAGTTATTCCTTCAATTAAATGAGCATTCAGCTAGAACTTGAGAATATGATGCTTGTTATATAGAGTTTTATGATAACGATAAAAAAGGTGACCTTTGTTATAACATAAAATCCTCAGAGGAAAAAAGTCATATAATTTATGTTTTCCCAAAGTTCCCGTCCTGCTGTCCACTCGTCCACTTGAAATGCAATCCTATTTACCAGGCCAACCTCTCTTTAGAGAGGGCATGAGAAGACCTTGCCCCCGCTAGAATAATCGTCTTGGGGAGCATTCATGCTGAGGACAACAGACAGTCACGGGTGTTGGCCTGGACCGTGGCGATACCGAGTAGCACAGCGAGTATGTAGCCGGAGCTAGATAGGAGCCCTGAGGCTTAGATAAGTTGTGTTTACTGGTAGTGACAATAAGGGTCAGGCAGTCAAGGATGAAATACTGGCAGATTTCCTTTTTTGGGGAAAAAATGTTTTCTGTGAAAGGATTCTTAGAAGCAAGCAGGGGAGGGATTCAGGCCCCTAGATCAGATATAAAATATATATATAGTAACTCTTTCATGGGATGGGAAAATATGAGATCTAGTTTGATGCAACGCAACATTGCCTTTTGTGATAAACACATGCTTGCCAATTGAGGGACGCTTGGATAAATGGGACAGCTAAGAGAAAAGAGTTTGTGTTTGGGGTCAACATCAATAAGAAGAATGTCTATTCTTGGGTTGGCCAGATACTAATGGGAAAAGAAGCCTTTGAAGAATAACTAGTGAAGCTCAGCCGTGAACTTGGATGTTTCCTACAACGAATCAAATCAAAACCAAGAATCATAAATATTTTCTATCTCTCTGCGACTCTTAACTTCTAGCCAAAATAACCCAAATCGCTGCCATCGTGTCCATTCTGACTGCCAGTGCTCCTGCAGGACAGAGGAGAACTGCCCTGTGGGTTTCCAAAGCTGTACATCTTTACTGGAACAGAAAGTCTCACCTTTCTCCTTTGGAGTGGCTCACGGGTTCAAACTGCTAACCTTGGGTTAGCCGCCCAACTTGTAACTCACTCTGCCACCAGGGTTCCTTAACTATTACGCAGCTCCTAAACCTTTGGGAGAAACCCTCCAAAGCAACAAGTGAACCATACCCATTCCGTGGACAGGCCGTTTTCCACAGTCCATCCTTCTTTCTCTCTGAGCCTCCTTCCATTATGGACTACAGTGCCGCACCAAACTGATGCTGGCTTGTCTAAGCTGGTATGTTCAAATGAAGCTGCACCAAGCAGAGACATGCATTTGGGGTAGGTGCCTGTGGACCACTAAGGACTTGGTGCTCCAAGAAGTCTCTGAAACTGCCTTCAAAATAATGTAGGTCTGTAAATATGTGCTTTTCAAGGGAGGAGGTGGGGGGGGGGGGAACAGTTTTCATGTTTGAAAGAAGTGTTTTGATAAAATTATAAATGGCAATTCAGTGTAACATGGCTGCCCAATAGACGACGGGCACACATATAACTTAGGGAATATAGATAAGTGACTATGTGAAGAGTACTTGTAGCTCTCTGGGTGCAGAGATACTGGGGGAGGGCAGAGAGATGGCTGAGAAGCCTACATGCCTGACACTAAAGGACTGGGTTCCACTTTAGCTTATTTTTAATCATTATTATTATTATTATTCTGTTAGGGCCTAGTTACCAAAAAAAAAAAAAAATGGCATGTAAGGACCTTTTCGGCAGATTTAATGCACCCTGGAAAAGATCACAGATCTATACAGATGAATATGCAAATACACGAAAAGAGCAATTAGTGACTGAGACAGAGGCAAGACAGATGGAGCAAAAGCAAATTAAGCAAACCAAGAGTTAAATGACCGAATACCTGGCATAATCTCCACAGCAAAACTGGGCAAGAGATCAGCAAGCAGCCCTGTCCTGCCTGGAAAGGTGGAAGGAAAAGAAGGAAAGAGGTTACTCCAAAGGAAATACAGCTCAAGGCCTGGCTCCTCCTGCTGCCAGCCCTCCGCGGCGCCGCTGCTCCTCTTTTCTTGTGGCAGGACGACCTCCCCATCCATCTTTGGCAGCCGCCTCAGTGCACTCTGCACCTAACCCCGGTGGAGGCAGAACCAGCTCTTCCTCTCCAACTATTTTTAGGAGGAGGAAATCGCTGCTTGGTAGGAGAAAACCCTGCCTGAGCAGACGGACACACACCATCGCTATTCATTTATGCGTCCTTCCCCACACACCTCACTGGAGAGTCAAACCCATTTGTGTCCAAACGTTCCATCTACATTTTCATACACCCATCCACTTATACAGACAGTCCTCTGTCCATATAAAAACAAAAGTACATATTTGGTTTTAGCTCAGGATTATCTCCCTACATGGCTCTATTTATATCCTAGATATTCCACTGATTAAAATGCTCAAAGGCAAGGAAAGATAAAGCTAAATCCATCACATACTTGTCTACACTCCTTCTGGCTTCAGAAATGTTCTGTACATATGTATATGGATGGCTTTTCCATATGGCATTCACAGCTGGCATTATAGGCACCCAAATGCTTTCGGCAGGGTCTTACATAAACGCTTGAAGTTGATATCGGAGGCTTGTGGAGGTAAAGAGCTTGCAGGAAAGAAGGCACAGGAAAATGAAGGAAAGGGATGGGTCTTCTTATTTAAAATAGCCTGATTTAAAGAATGAAATGCGGAACGCATTCACCCTCTGTTCACGTCCAGGTGACTGTGTTGTTAGATGCCATCTAGTCATCTCCAACTCATGGCAGCCAACAGAGTGACAGGCTGCCAGTCCTGCATCTTCCTCACAAACACCAGCATGCTTGGGTCCATTGGCGCAACCCCTGTGCCAGTCCATCTCATGGAGGCTCTACCAGCCTCATGTTCTCTTATAGTGATCACCCCTCCTGATGATGTGTCCGGAGTTAGTGAGTTGGACAGTTTTCTGTTGTGATCCATTGGTTTTCAAGATTAATTTTCAGAAGTCAATCACTCAGCTCTTCTTCCTAGTCTTTCTGAATCTAGACGTTCTGCCCAAACTGCCCTCAGTGGTTGACCCTCCTAGTATTTGAAAATACCCCTGGTTTCTAGTATCATAACTACACGCAGCCACCACAATGGGATAAACTGACAAGGGGTAGGCCATAGTATCGCTCTATCTCCACGTTCACGCTCCAGAGATCTGCACCACACTGATAAGTCGCACTTGGGGATAGTTTGCCCACTGCTCAAAAAACAACCTAAGTGAAACCATATCCTGCTTCAGTTTTGTACCTCTCTAACAGGGCTTTTATGATTTTGAATAAAGGCTTACAAGCAAGTCTTATTTTGCATCCAACAGTTCATGCTTTTTTGGTTTCCACTCACCCATTGCAATCCCTTTATCTCACATCTTCCTGCTCTGCCTGTTGCCATTCCTCTTTCTTCCCTAAACTCTGAACTTTGTTCTTTGGTAAATGGTTCTTTGGTCTTAAATGGTTGATTATTTTAACACAAGGGTAAGTTCAGTCTCAGACCTGAAGGGTGACTAAGGTCACCCTTGGGGGTCCCACCGGTCGACAATAAACCAGTAAACCTGGACTCATAATTTTGAGTTCGGTTCCAACATATTTTTCTCCCACACTCTCCAATGTGATTGTTTGAGAGTAGGGGGTGGTGGTTGTCATGCATGATCCAGTACTTCTGGCCTCAAGGTTGTCAAGATCAGTGTTTATGTGGCCCATTAGTCCACTGGACTCATTGCTTCCACATCGTTTGATTTTCATCACTCCTTTTATCTCCAGATGGAGAGAAACCAATAGCTTCCCCTTAGATGGCTGTTCATGACCTTGTAAGACCCCAATTGCTACTCACCAAGGTAAGGCCGTCAAACCTTCTCTTTGAGGACCATGTTAGATCAATTGACATGCGTGTCCCCCAAGACTATGGTCGTTATCCCCTTGGCTGAGCAATCAATTCCCTCAAGGTGTTTGGTCTGTCTGAGAACTTTCATAACTTTGCCCTCTGTATGCATTAGAGAATAAGTTACCCATGTATGTGGTCTATATTTTGCATCTAAAGGTCATGGTTCTCTTCAAATGGTGCTGGCAAAATTGGATCTCCATCTGCAGAAGAATGAAACAGGACCCATACCTCACCCCATGTTCAAAAACAAACTCAAGATGATCAAAGACCTAAATGTCAATCCCAGAGCTCTAATGATCCTCAATGAGAAAACAGGGACAAACTTAAGGGCCCTATTGTAGGCTGTACACATACTATCAAATATAATAAAGGAAACTCAAAAGGAAGACAAAATAGATGACTGGGACCAACTCAAAATAAGACACTATGTGCATCAAAAGACTTCATTAAAAGAGTAGAAAGAGAGCTGACGGGCTGGAAAAAAGATTTCTAGCAATGACACAAGAGATAAGGGGCCAATTTATAAAATCCGTATAATATTGCAAGACTTCAAGAAAAATCTAATACAGTGAACCCTCGCCACTTCGCGCTTCGACTTCTGCGGCTTCACTCTATCGCGGTTTTTGCGTTAACAGCGCATGCTCTGTCATTACTGCCACTGATTGGCTCATACTGTACATGCTTGATGCCATAAATAATATAA